ACACCTTCTAGCAAGTGTGTGTGAATACTTTAATTTCATTTTTCTATTTCTCTGCAGGTGGCCAAACACCTTTGCACATTTGTGAGGCTTTGTTATAGTGTTTCCCTTTTGCCTTATTTTGTTGGACCTTTATGTTATCATGTATTTCCATGTTTGTATGCAGCATCCTGCTCACAGCACAGAGGGAGCATATTGCCAGGAGGTTATCATGCTGAGAACCTGAAATCCAAAGGCCACGGGCAAAGCTGCCAATCTGTCAGACAACAGGTGTGAAGGAGTTTATCTAAGGACTCAAGTAACCATTACTTCTATTACTGACAATCACACACATCTTGTAACATTGATGCAACAGTTTGAAGGACAACTTGTTTCTCTTGAAGTCTCTGTGACTACTTTGTTGTTTGGAGTCATTATTGTGCTATTTTTGCTCTGTTATTCATTATCCATTAGCTCCATCTCTGCCTCCCGGTGTCTCGCAATAATTCACTTAGGTTATAAGCTCTATATTTGCTATTTCCAACAATACAACTGCGGCACCCGGCAGGGGTGGGTAGAGGAGCTCTACTAAGCCAATAAAAAACCATAGTCCAACTAACAGTTATGGGTCACAGGGGCAGCAGTCTCAGTAATGACTCACAGACTTCCCTCTCCCCAGACACCTCCTCTTAGAGAAGCCTGATAGGCTCCCAGGCCATCTGAGAGACATTGTCACCCCATTGTGTCCTGGGTCATCCTCTAGGCCTCCTCCCTGTTGGGACATGCATGGAACACCTCCTGAAAGAGGCATCCAAAGGGCATCAGAAACAGATGTCCAAGCCACCTCAGCTGACTCCCCTTGATGTAGAGGAGATGCAGCTCTACTCCAAGCCTCTCCTGAAAGATTGAGCTCCTCACTCGATCTCTAAGGGAAAGCTTTTGTTTCAATAGAAAATGTTGGAAGAACATGACCATCAATATATTCTCTAATGTGATGTTTTGTTATCTGATCTAATGTAGGCCTAATCTAATTCTATTGAAAGTTTTCTAAATAAAATTTTACTTAAAGATGCATTAATGAGTCTTCTAATGGTACTGCCACAGAACTGCAGCAATCTTCTACTCGTTCTCATAGCTTGCAATCGAACCTGTCAAGGTTTTTTTTTTTTCCACCTTACGTGGAGTTGCCATTGATGTCTGAGTTCAGCCAGTCGGTTCTGTGTCCACAAAATTTAACTTGAATATAAGGTCTTCATTGTTTGCTAGATTGGACCCATTTAACATAGATGAGCTTGACGTCGCAACCGCCTTACAAAGCAGGAATTTCTGTTTCCAAGTAAATTAAGGAAATGAGGCCGAGATATTTTCTTTATATAAATGAAAGAAAAAAAGGTTTATAGATTCATTGGTGCTGAACTACTTAGGCGTCAGTCTGCTCGTCAAATGATCTTTAGATGAGCAGATACACCCTTGACAATTTGGCAGTCTGTTGTAGGGCAACACAGAGACTAGGCTTGTCCCGATCCGATACGTGGATCGGATCGGGACGCCGATATTGGCAAAAAAATGCGTATCGGCAAAGCATGTAAAATGCCGATCCAGACTGCCGATCCAGTTTAAAAAAAAAAATCCGGTCCGTATTTTCCAGTTTCGCCGATTGAAACGATCCATTCCACTATTTTGCGCCAGTGTTCCCCTGTTTTGCATTTGTGTTTTTTGTGTCTGTGTTTTTTTATATTCATCTGATCATGTGACTCCTGACCAGCAAGTGACCATCAGAGGCTGATTGCCACTCGTTACCCCCTGTAAACTACACAACAAAGGATGCACAATGAGGATGAAACCCAGCCTATTCTATAAAATTGCCGCACAACTGAGAAATCTGCCCAAAAAGGACAAAGATAATGTACAGTGTATGCCTACCCCTCTAGTAGACAGCTGCAATTTTTCAGGATGTGATTCTTAGTGCAATTAAAGATACATATATTAAAAATTATCTTATTATCCAAAATGTGGGCTGAAAACTTCGATATTAATTTGTAATATTTTCAAAATGTGTATTCCTAATTTTATTTACCCTTTATATTCATATCTCATATAGACCTCCAGTTCTCATGCTGGATTTCAGCAACACTAATTTTAACAAATACTTCATGTTTTTATTAATAATAGAAATAATTTAATTATATTATTTCCTGGTAAAAATCTATCAAAAGACTATTTCTATTTATATAGACTAGTTATTTTTTCCTAAATATCAAGCTTATCTTCATGGTAAACAGAAACAGGATTATCTACAAAACTGAAAATTATTGAGAAATATTGTGTAGTCAATAACTTATTGGCACGGTTAGAGTGTATTGAGTCTATAGCCGAACTTCATAGAAAATCTTTTATCTCCTCCTTCATTGACCTCTCTGATTACAATCTTTTTTTTTAGTGATCCTTATTCTTTTCAATGACAGTTTAATTTTTCGGTCCTTAACTAGGTAAGAAAAGGCTCCTTTCAGTCAAATCCAGAGATGGCAAAAGTACTCACTTTCCGTACTTGAGTAAAAGTACAGATACTTGTGTTAAAAAATACTCTGGTAAAAGTGGAAGTACTGATTAAACTTCTTTACTCAAGTAAAAGTAACAAAGTGCAGGCTTGTAAATTTACTTAAAGTATAAAAGTAAAAGTAGAAAGCACTTTTTTCATGCCGTTGCCTACATTTTAAATGGATGTCTGCCAATAGGACTAGATCTCCGTTGTGTTCATTTTCAGTCATCTCGTCGTCCATACTACTATGCTAACGCCACCGCCACCAAGCTGCAATGATTTGCCGCGAATGAATACCGCCGAATCTGTCGATTCATCTTGTAGTGGTGCGTCAAATGCAACGTAGATTCCCGTCCAATTAGATTGAATTTGGTATTGATGACGTGAAAAATAATAATGGTAACTCCATTGAAATGATTCAAAACTAAAGTAACGAGCCAATTTTTAAAGATGTAAGGAGTAGAAAGTACAGATATTTGTGTAAAAATGTAAGGAGTAGAAGTAAAAAGTCGCCATAAAAATAAGTAGTAAAGCAAAGTAAAAATATCAGAAAAATCTACTTGAGTACAGAGAGACTTGACCAGAGATGGGAAGTAACGAAGTACAAATACTTCGTTACTTCCCATCTCTGGTCAAGTCTCTCTAGTGGCTCAAAGCTGCGATTCTTTTACAACACAAGCAGAATAAGGAAGAGAAAAGAGCTGTCAACATTTCTTTAGCACATATAACTATAGGTCTGAGTTTAGAAATGAGTACCATTTGTGGCCTCTGTAGTAATTACAGTTTAATATTCTTTTATTGTGACATAAAAAAGTGAATAAATACAATGTGGTCTGGAATGTTAATAGGTTTACGGGAGGCCCCCTGATTATAAATTCCTGTTTTGAGACTGAATGTGTCAGTCTTGGTTCTGTTATGTTTTCTTTTGAGTATTCAGTTTTACTTTGCTCCACGTTTTCTAGTTTCATTGGTCTAATTCCTGTTTTGTTGTGCTTTCTGGTTGTATTTAAGTTCTTAGGTTTTTATTTATTGCCCTCTGTTGCCTTTTTGTGTTGTTCTCCTTTTTCCTAGCTCCTTTCTAGACTCCTCTCTTCACACCTGCTCCCAATCAGCTCGTTAGTCCTCTCTTTGTTCAGTCTCCCATATAAACTCTCCTTGTGTAGTTCCTCAGTGCTGGTTCCTTGTCATACTTCGTCTTACCTCACCGTGATTGTTTTCCCCTGATGTCTCCATGGTTCTGGTTTGTTTTACTACTTTCATGTTGGATTTTTGGATTCCTTCCTCAGTTGTTTGTGAACATTTCATTAAGTCTACAAACACTCACCTCTGTCTCAGCATCTGGATCCTCAAACCTCAAGAAAATCCTGACAGAATGTGATCACTAATATGTCATAACGCACAAATAACGGCTCACATCAGAACTTTTTCCTTCTGGCAACTTTTTCCTTCTTCTTCCTTTTGAATATTGTGTCACTACTGTGTGTATAATATGCTGCAACTGGTTCAAGTTGACCTCCAAGTAAGGCATAAGCTGATATAAGTTGAGCTATATACTCACGGAGCAGGGCTGCTCTGCTCCTCCACAGCCTCCATGGCACATTGAAGGGACCTCTGTAGAGACAAAAGCTGAGTGGATGTCTCTCTTAGCATGAACCTGGTGACGAACTGACCCAACACACTGGCACCCTGGTACTCCTGAGAGACAGAGAGAGAGAGAGAGAAAAATGACAAAATTTTTCATTCCATGCTACATAAACACATAGATGAACAGAACCAATAAAACTGTCAAATGTATCCAAGGTTAATAAATTTATTTGATCATTCTAAACTTCAAATTTAGATACCAGGGACAAACAACTTCAATAGGATATATACAGTAATTGAGGCTGGAGTCTCGCACCATGAATGTGATTACATGTTCTCAGAGGAGTCATAGAACGACACTTCAAACCCCTTTGTAAAAAAGGTGAGACTGGCATGTAACCTCTGCAGAATAACCATCATGGGTGTGGTGGATGATCCTCCCACCACCACATTGTGTTAGTATTTTCTTTTCTTGCTTTATATTATATTACAATTTATGTTTAAGTTGGTTATTTTAGACAGGTATTTTCTAATGGGTGCACACTTTAGTTAATGTCTGTCTGAATGTTTATTTACACTTGTTCTTTTGTTTGAGGTGCTGCTGATACAAACCAGCTGGAGAAGGAAATGTGGAGCGTACCATCATTGAAAGACTGATGGGGGAGCTTGTTTCAAGAAGTTTTCAATTAGTTTGTCACTTAAATACTCATTTATTGTTTCTGTTAAGTAAGTTAGTTTGCTTTATTTGTTTCATAGACTGGTTAATTTTGTATTTATTGGTTCTTTTGTAATGTTGTGCCTCCCTCATTTTGTCGACTTGGGTTACTCCATCCCTTTTTAAGCAGCCTTTAGTTCTTTGTTTGGGGGTCAGTTTTTTGTTTGAGTTGGATCCTCAGTTGAC